GACTCCAAGGGCAGGGACACCTGGAGCTGTGTCCAATTCAGTGTGTGATGCCTGCAGAGCTAAATGTGGGGTTTTCGTGCCTCCCCTGGGCCTGCAGCTTCTTACCTGGAACAAGGGGAGCTTCTCTCAGGAAAGCCAGCGGGAGAGCAACAGGCGGTGGGGGTGTGAGAACACCTGGGCACGGTGGGGCCTGAGCGGGTGCCATCAGCGTGCCCACGGGCTGCCTGTCTGTGTGGCGGCCTCCTGGTGCAACAGCCTGGCCTCTGGGCCCTGGTTACCCTCCTGCTCCGAGAGGTCTGTCCTGGGAGTGGAGTGGAGACGAGACGGACAGGGCCTGCCTGTGCCGTGGTGGGGGACAGACGGCGATCAGAGAGCCACACACAGGAGTGGACGCCGCTCCTGTGCGCCAGGCCCTGAGTAAGTGCTAGTCCTTTGTTGGACGTGTGACTTTCTCCCAGTCTGCAGCTTGTCTTTCCATCCTCTTAACAGGGTCTTCCACAATGCAAAGTTTTAAAATTTTGGTGAGGTCCAGCTGACGCATTTTTATTTTATGGATTGTGCTTTTGGTGCCAAGTGTAAAATCTCTTTGCCTAATCCCGGATCCTGGAGATTTTCTCCCCTTTTTTTTTTTTCAAGTTTTATGGTCTCATGTTTTACATTTATGTTCACGGTACGTTTTGAGTTAAATTTTATATGGGGTGTGAAGTTCAGGTCAAAATGTTTCCTTTTAACCGTGGATGTCCAGCTGCTCCTGCACATTCACAGCACAGGCTGCACCTCCACGTGGAGCTGCCTTTGTGCCTGTGTTAAAAAGTGGTTGAGGCGTGTCCGTGTGGGTCTCCCCTAGTTCCTGTTCAGTCCCCCACACCCCCACGTCCGCACGTGTAGCTTCCGCGTAGCGCTGTGTGGTGGCCACACAGCGCACCTGCTCATTGGGAAGAGCAGGGCCCCACCTTGTTCTTTTCCAAAACTGCTTTGGCTGTTCTAGGACTTTGTCTACAAAAAATCTTGCTGAGGTTTTGATAGGAATCACACTAAGATCTACAGATCAGTGTTGGGGAAATTGATATATTTACTATGCTAAGTCTTCTAATCCATGAACATTGTATCTCTCTATTTATTTAAATATTCTTTTGATTTCTTTCATCAATGCTTTGTAACTTTCAGCATGCAGACACTGTGCAGGTTTTGTTAGATTTATACCCAAGTACTTAAGATTTTCTGTAAATAGTGTTGCCTTTTTTATTTTGCTTTTCACTTGTTTACTGCTGCTTTACAGAAATGCGATAGATTTTTGTATGTTAATCCTGTTTTCTACAACCTTACTGAACTCACTCACCCGTTCTAGTTTCTCTGTAGGTTTCTTGGGATTTTCTGCAGCAACACTCATGTCGTTTGACGTAGGAAGTTGCGTTTCTTCCTTCGCAATCTGTGTGCACTTTATTTCCTTCTCGTACCTTCCTGCCTTGGTTGGGGCTATATGGGGAGAACAAGGGCCCTCCCTTACTGCCTGAGGGAGGGTGGTCAGGCTCTCGCCCAAACTCTGATGTCAGCTGCAATTACTCGTGGATGGTTTTTATCAAGTCGGGAGTTGCCCTTGATTCCTGCTTTGGCTGAGAGTTTGTATCTTGCATGGATGTTGAATTACGTGAAATGCTTTCTTTGTGTCAGTTGACAGGATCGCATGTGGTGTATATTCTCTGGCTTGTTGATGTGGCACATCACACTGACTGGTTTCCAAATACTGAACCAGCCTCGTATACCTAAAATAAACCACATTTGATCATGGCATAGTATTCTTCTTTGTATACTGCCAGTTCAATTTGCTAATATTTGCTGAGGATTTTTAGATCTAAGTTCACAAGAGACACGGATACACGTTTCTGTGCATAGGTGCATGTACGCACAACCTTTGTCAGTTCGGGTACCAGGTTAACAGCAAGTGGGGAAGTGTTCCCTCTCTTTTGTTTTCTGGAAGGGATTGTGTAATATTGGTACTAATTCTTATTCAAATGTTTAGTAAAATTCTTTAGTGAAACCATCCGGGACTGGAGATTTCTTTTTGAGGAGCTTTTTAATTACAAATTCGATTTATTTAATGGTTATAGGATCATTGAGGCTATCTGTTTTATCTTGGCTAAGTTCTGGTAGTTTAAGTTTTTCAAGGAATTGGTCTAGTTCTTCTAAACTGCTAAATTTATGAGCATAAAGTTTTCTTTGTAGTACTTTCTTTTTCTTTTAATGGCTTCAGGGTCTGTTGTGGCTTTGCCTGTTTCAGTTATGCTGTTGGTCATTTCTCCCTGCTCTGTCTTTGTCAGTGTTGCCAGAGGTTTATCAGTTTTATTCCAGATTTTCAAGGGCCAGCTTTTGGTTTCAATAATTCTCTGTTGTTTTCCAGTTTTCAAGTTTGTTTATTCCTGCTTTTATCTTATTTCCTCCTCTGCTTGCTTTAGGTTTATTTTGCTCTTTTGAAGTAGGAACTTAGATAACTGATTAGAGATCTTTCTTCTAATGGAATCATTTGGTGCTATTATTTTCCCTCTGAACACTGCCTTGGGTGCATCCCACAGCTTTATGATGTATTTTCACTTTCATTTGGTTCTTTGTATTTTTATTTCCTTCGAGCTTTCCTGTCTGACTCAGGCTGTCTGGGAGTGCTCTGTTTAACTTCCACGAATTCCAAGACTCTCCTGCTCTCTTTCCTATGGTGACTTCAGGTTCCTGTTTTACCCCAGGGCGTCCTCCTCCATCTGAGCCCTTCTTTATGGCAGGTGCTCGAGGCGCAGTGTGTACCGCGCTGCTCCAGCCCTGGAATCAGCCGCTTCTTCACGCACCAGTGGGGACACTTTTATTATTTAACAGCATAACCACGATACCACCATCACATGTAACCAGCACTAAAATAACTCCCCAGTGTCTTGACAGCGTGTTGCTTACATTTCCTGAACACTTGATATCATCAATCATTTCAGTTTTGCTCACCTGGCTCTGGATTCAGGTTCCATACATTGCAGTGGGTTTAATCTCTAGGTTCCTTCTCCATCCCATTTCTTCATTGGTGGAATCTTCTCTAACACCCTGGGCAGCAGGTGACCCTGCTCTGGACAGGAATCCCTTAGTGCCCTCATCTGCACCTTTATTTGCCCCACCCTGCAACCCGAGGGGAGGGCGGAGGGAAGGGCTCCCATCTCTGCCCTGCGGGGGTCTGTTGTCTCATCTGTCTCCTCCCTCATCCCTCTATGCCAAGGAAGCTCCTGGGGTGCCTGTTGTAGGTGCCACTAGGACACCACTGGCAGGGGGTGACCAATACTCTGTGACCTCTCCACTCCGAGCTGCACAGAGGTGGTCTTGCGCTGTTCGCTGTTGGAGTGACTACAGCGGCAAAGCCGGGTTAGGAGGCCAGGTCACGCATCACTGCTTGTAACGCCCCAGCGAGCCTGCATGTGGCCATTCTCTAGCTGCTCTGTGGTCACACGCTATGGCAGCCAGACCCCGGCCTCCAGTGCTAGGCTGGCCTTCCGGACAGGCTGCCCTGCTTTCTGGGGGAGGCAGGGTCCAGGCCAGAGTGCAGCAGCTGCCAACTGACAGGCCACAAGCGTCTTCATTAAGGTTGAGTGTCTGGGTACCCCCAGGGCACCTGCTAGCCATACCACTGCTCGTGTGCCGCAGACCAGACAGGTGGCAGCTTGGCCGCCCAGACGCTGGGAGGAGAGGGAGCCGGAGACAGCGCAGGCGGCCCCAGAAATACTGATAGCCACGGCCAACATGTCTTCCTGGGCAATTTGCTTTTTTTAAAAAATTGCGCTCGGATTTTAAGTGAACGGCCCTAATTGCAGTGATTTACAAGGCACCTGGGGACTGGGCGGTATTTGAACATGGCAGAGGCTGAGCAGAGGTTGATCGGCACGCGTAGTTCATTCAGCTCATTGTGACAGGCCTTGGTGGCTGCTGAGGTGGGTCTAGTGGGGATGTGGCCCCTTCCAAGGCAAAAGGGGACAGAGTCAGGGGAGAGCAGGGCTCAGAGCCCTGGGGTGGGTACGGAAGGTGGGCTCATTGGGGCCCTACAGGACGGGCACGGCTTATCTGTGGGGCTGGCGTGGTGCACACAGCTGGATCTGCCTTCCTTTGGGGTGCGCAGCAAGAGCAGCATGACACCCACCCAGACCTGGAGGGTAGGGCCCTGGGGAGGGGGCTCATTACCCCAGAACCGCCAGGGGCTGGCCCAGGAGGCGTTGCTGGAGCCACGGTGGGTGGCGAGGGCGCTGGGCGGGGGGGGTGTTGTGCAAGGCTTTGCCCATCCAGCGAGGACAGCAGTCGAGGTGTGGATGAGGGAGGGTCCTGTCTGTTCCAGATAAAGAATGATCCGGCCCCCAAAGCCTGCCAGCGCCTGGAAGCCAGGCGCCCAGCGAGCCCCGTCCACGAGGCCACCACTGCAGTGGCTGGGCCCTCCTGGGCGTGGCAGCCTCGGGTGCGGGGAGGGAGAGCCTTTTCTCCCTACTCTGCTCCCACCCAGCCCGCGCCTCTGCCTGGCTCCCACTTGCTCCCGACAGCTGCAGAATCGGCCCCTCTGACATTTAGGGGAAAACTCAGAATCAAGAGCATAAGGCAAAAATGAAAGGATTTTCTTAGTAAAAGGTCAGAGCGGTTTCTCTTGTTTTTTGTTTAAAAATGGTTTGTGTTGAACTATGACAAGGCCGAACATGCTAACTAGGAGTGGGGGCAGGAGAAGCCCAGCACGAAAACGGAGGAAGACGCTCGAACAAACAGATGAGGCTGCTCGGGCGCCAGGCTGGGGTAGCGGGGGTGGCACAAAGCCAGGGGACCCCAGACAGCTGCCTGCAGCCACACGGGCGCCCCAGGTCTCTCTTGCCCGGGGTGTGGTCAGCAGTAGATGGAGGTCCCCTGGCTCCTCCCTACAGCTGGAGGGGCCGCCTGGCCAGGGAGGGGAGAGACCTGCCAGGCCTCCCCACGCTGACCCTGTCTTGTCTCTCCCCCCGCAGGCCACGGGCCCCTCGGGCTCCAAGATGCAGCTGCTGGAGACGGAGTTCTCGCGCACCGTGGGCCCGCTCATCGAGCTGCACCTGCTGCGCCAGGACAGCATCCCCGCCTTCCTCAGCTCCCTCACCCTCGAGCTCTTCAGCCGCCAGACCGCCGTGGCCTAGGCGGCAGCGCAAGAACCCCTCTGCCTCGGCCTGTCCCTGCCCTCCGCCTGGGTGCATGTCCTCCCCTGGCAGCATCATGACGTGGTGGCCGTCACAGCCCCACGCCTGACTGTGTGGACACTGTCTCAGCCCTGAGGCTGCTGAGCTCAGCCTGCACCCCTTCCCAGGCGGCCCTGCCCTCCGCCCACGCGCTCTGACCCTGCCCATCTGGAGCCTTAGGGTGGGCCTGTGGCCACCAGGCAGTTCCTCGCCGTATGAAATAAAGTTTTCTGCCCCAGCCCTCTTCCCGACTGTGTGTGTCCGAGGCCCCAAGCCGATGGCTCCCTGCTCCACGTCCTGCCAGGCCCGGCCCCCACTGCTTGCCGCCCATGTCCCCTGGGCACCAGGGACGGCCACCTCTCAGGTCCCAGCCCAGAGGTGTGTGGGGAGAAAGGGTAGGAGCCAGGAGCCGTTGCCTGGTGCCCCCACCCCAGCAGGGTGGGGCTACTCCGAGACTCGGTGTTGGGATGCTGATGGGACCAGAAGCCAAAGCCACCTCTGCCACCTACAGCCGGACTCCTGGCCTGGGCTGGGGGCTCTGGCTCCACCTCCCGGCCCCACCCACCCCACCCAGCACCTCCATGAAAACCCAATGTCCTCTGCATGGACGCCTCCTCCAGGCCTCAGATGGGAAAGTTGGGGTTCCCCTCCAGGTCTCGGGCTGGAAAGTTGGGGTTAAACTTCAAGTGGGCCCCCTGGAGAGGGTGGGGTGCTCCGAACCTGGACGGGAAGGGCAGCTGCCTGATTCACTCTGCGCCCCCCACACATCGGGCCTGAGTGTTGGCTTCTGTTTCTGGGCTCGAAGGCTTCAAGGAGGGTCTGTGAACCTGGGGGTTGGGGTCAGGGAGGCTTTTTGGGGCCTGCTGGGTGCGTCCCTTACAGACCACGTGGATGCAGAGCAGGGTGAGACTCACCACGGGTCAGGTCCCCCCGGGGCTGGGGCCCTGCCAAACCCCAGAGCCCCAAACCTGTGTGGCCCCACCGCTGCCCTGGGGGTGCTGCGTCCCCACTTCCCAGGTGAGCGCACCAGGCTCGGGCGCCCCTCACTCCGCACACCCCCGGGGGAATCCTGGGTTCCCTGTGCCTGCAGCCCCCGCCTCATTACTATTCCCGCCCCTCACAGGTGGGGCCTCATGTCAGCATGGTGACAGGGACAGCACAGCAGCCACCCTCCTCACAGGACTCTCCGCCTGAGCCACGTGGAATCCAGCCCTGCCCCTGCAGCAGCCATGCCCCCAACTGAGGTGTTTCTGGCAGACGTCAGAGTGGAGTCATTCATTCAGTCCATTCAGACAATTATTAAGCGCCTGTGGTGTATAAGCACCTGTGGTGTACTAGCTCTGGTTCAAGTGCTGGGATATGTTGTAACAAGACAGAGTCCTATTCCCTGTCCTGTGCTACCTGCCATCTCCAGTGGGGGTTGGGGCTCTGTGGGCCCATCTGTGTGCTTGGCCCTGCTCTCTCCACTCAGGAACCCCAACCCCACCGTTTGCAGGAGGAAAGGCCTCCACAGGTGTCGGTGGGCCCCAGGCTGGGCCATGGGGGGCCAGCCTGACCCTCCCACCTGCCCCCACTCCCCTCAGAGCACCAGGTGAGGCTGTGTCTGCCTGGACCGGGCCTGCGTGTGCCCAGCAGCAATGCCATGTCCAGGAAGAACCTGGCACGGAACCATTGGCCCATAGAAATGGACTTCGAGGCCACGTGCGTGTGCATGCATGTGCATGTGTGCACATGGGTGTGTGTGCATGCACATGTGTATGTGTGTGAGTGCCTATCTGTGTGCACGTGTCTCATTCTGGGGAATCCATCAGGCCCTGGGAGTCGCCGGGGTGCGGGTGCAGAGCCCCAGGGTGGCCTTGGCACCGTGAGGACGCTGAAGCGGGATGGTGGGTGCCAGGCCCAGGGACACGCACGCCCCCATGTGCTGGGTGAGGCCAGGCCACACTGCCCCTGGGGCCCCAGGACTCCTCTGGCCTCACTGGAGCTGGCTTGGCTGCTGGCAAGTGGCCGGCCCGTGGCCACAGGCCAGAGCTCCTGGCCATGACAGGACCCAGCCGCTAGCGCCACCCCCACTCGCCCTCTGGCTCCGAGCCCTGGGGCCACAAGGCAGGTCACCACAGTCCCGCACTTGGTGCCAACTCCCTGAGAGGTGCCCTTTTACAGGTGCGGAGACGAAGGCTCAGAGAGACCTGACCAAGGTCACACAAGGGGGAACACAGGCTGTCCTGAGCTGCCCCACAGGGAGCAGGGGTGGATGCCTGCGGGTCCACCTGCGCCCTTCTTGTACCCCTGTGTCTCAGAGCAGCCTGGCGCCTGGGCCACACGCTCCTCTGGGGCTGCTGGCCCCACCCCAGTCACCAGCCACAAACAAGTCCCCGTCCCCAAGCACAGCCCTGCATCAGCCTCCAGACGTGGCTCTCATGCCTGCCTCAGTCTCCCCTTCCTCCCTCCACAGCTGGGGGATCTCTGAGGCCCCTTCCTGTGGGAGAGCCGGGGGCTGGCCCCTCCCCTGCTGGGCTCCCCCAGGCTCTGCACCTGCCCCCACCCCCAGCCAGTGCTGGCAGAGGCACCCGCGGCAGGCAGCAGGTGGCTCTGCTCCTTCCGGGGGTTTCCTTCCCTGGGAAGAGGCAGGGAGGGGCGGAAGCTGCCATCCCACCTCTAAGGGACATGTCTGGGCAGGCCGTGGAGAGCAAAGGTCCCCAGAGCATGTCTCCCTCTCGGCAGATGTAATAAGCCTGCGGTTCGAGTTTGTCAAATCCTCTCCACCCGCCTGCCAGGTGGGGTTGAAATGAAACAGCGCGTGGGGAGCGGGGGAGGCAGAGGCCCCGCCCGTCCCCGCAGCCGGGTTCCGGCATGTCCCCCGCTTCCGCCAGCACCTTAGTGGGCGCCCGGCGCTAAATAGTTCTTAAGCCGCTAATGACTAATTTTAGGGGATTAGTGCCGCAGCGATAAACTGTAATTGCCAGGATGTAACAGGATTTGGTGGGCTGCAGGGCTCCTTCCAGCTCCCCGGCTGGGGAGGACAGTGCCGCCTGCCGGGGCCTCCAGGGCACCCACCTCCCCAGCCCAGCGCAGGCGCCGGCACAGACGTGCCATGTTTGCTACTGTCTCTTTCCTTCCTGCATGTGCCCGTGCGGGTTCTTCTGGAGACGCATAAATCCCTGGGCTTTCTCCAGCTCCTCTCACCGCTGAGCGTGGTGCCCGGAGGCAGCAGCCCCAGGAGCTGCCTAGAGAAGCCCGTGTGCGGGTCCCGCCCTGCGCGTCAGAGTCTGCCGTCGACAAGACCCCCAGGCTCGTCCACGCTGAAGCTCTCACCTGATTGAAAGATCCCAGTTACAGAGCTCTTCCCACGTGTGAGCTCATCCCCATCCCATAATGATCCTGCAAGTCGGGTCTTGCCAGGAGAGGCTGGGGTTGAAGGAGCGGGTACTGACCTGCAGCCACAGCATGTCTGTGTAAGGCCTGGACCCAAACCCGCTCAGCGGCCCTTCCCAGCCCGGCTTCCGCGTCCAGCTTGGCCACATCCCTCCTCTTAGTGCCACCAAGACACCAGGCCCAAGCAAAGACCTGGACCTTTGCCCAAAGACCACGTTGGAGGCATGACTCAGGGCTCCAGGGGCTTTGACCGTACATGAGAGAGTGTGTGTGCACATGTGTGTACATGCACATGCATGTATATGTACCGCTTTGCCACACCTGTGTGCATACATGACCTGTGTGCATGTACCTGTGTAACTCGTGTATGCACATGAGCATGCGTGTGTAGCTTATGCATGTGTGTCTTATGATTGTGGGAATTCATGTTTGTACACGTGTGTACCTATGTATGTGTGTGTCCTTGCATGGCTATGTGTACATGCATCACTGTGTACCCCATGTATGCATCCCTGCTTGCACTATGGGGACAGGTGGCTTCACCAGAATGCTTACATTTCCACTTTAGGCCCAGAGAGGGCGAGGGCCTTGCCCCAAGTCACACAGCAACAAAGGACCAATGATGGGCCCACAGCCTGGTCAGACATCAGCTGGCCTGCCCTGCCTGTCTCGTGTTTCACATTTTCTTTTCTTTAACTGCACAATTCTAATGGATTTCTAACAATAAACGAAACAAAACAAACCCTCCAACAACATAAGAGAAATGGAGAGTAAAAAGACAAAGTTCCTCTTTGGCCGCGTCCCGACGTGCCTGCCTGTGGGAGGATGTGCACACCTGGCGTGGACAGGGGAAACGCGTGGCTTCGTTTCACCGTGGCGTGCGTGGCTTTCAAATAACCGCCTGTCGCTCCACAGCTTGGTTTTTCTCACTTAACGGTATGTCTTGGAAATTTTCCATAAAAGCGTCTACTGATCTATTTCGCTAGATTTGTTGTTGTTTCCTAAACACTCAAGAATTCTCATGGAGAACAATGACATACAGAAACGCCAGATTCTCATTTTAAAGTAAAATCGACGGCATGTCTCAGAACTCCCCTATTCTACAACTGCACCTTTTCAAGACTGAGCAGAGGGAGGTTTTGTTTGTTTGTTTATAATGTTCATATTTCTGAGGACTGGGCTCCGTGGCTGCCCTGAACATGCGGGTCCCATTCCCGCCTCAGGGCCCTGCACGGGCCCCTCCCCATCCTGGAGTCCCCCCAACACTCGGCTGGCTGGTCCTCCGTGATGGGCTCAAGTGTGTTCCCAAAACTCATGTTGAACCCTAACCCCAGGACCTTAGAACAGGGCTGCATTTGGAGACAGAGTCTTTAAAGAGGTGATCACAGTAGCATGAGGTCATGAGGGTGGCCCCAGTGCCATGCGACTATGTCCTTATGGGAAGAGGAGGTCAGTACACAGACAGGCACAGAGGGACGACCCTGTGAGGACACGGGAAGATGCTGTCTGCAAGCCAAGCCCTGCTGCACCTGGAGCTCGGACTTGTGCGATGACACCGCCAGGTCTGCAGGGTGTGTTCCGGTGGCCCAGGCTGGCTCACGCCCCACACGCCTGCCTTCCCC